CACCCTTCGCATCGTGGGACAGTAAAGGTAGGTTCCTGATTGCTACGTGGGACTGGAGTTGAAGATACAGCGATGGACGACGATGGACTACGCGCAACGGTACGTTGTATTTTTTTAATAATTTATTCTTCTCACATAAAAAGCACCTCACTGTTAGAAAGGTTGCTTTTTTATATATATTATCTTTAAATTTGTAGTATAATTTACACACAAGCAAATTGCAGTTTTTAGAGTTATATATGCTTAATAAAGTTTAAATATAGTAAGTTAATGAAATTATTCTGAAACGGTTTCTTTTATAATAGTCTGGAAAAAAAATCCTTCATATATGGACATATTCTATATCTGTGATGATGTTTAATTAATACAATCATATATGAGATCTTCTCAATCTCATGCAAAATTATTATGCCTAGATATAGAATTTGAGCATACATGAAGAATTGTTTCCCAGAAAAATAATGATTTAAGATTAAATTATTTATTATCTTTTATATCTCTACAATAAAAATTTTTGAGAAGAATAAATTATTCTGCATGAGTAGTAATCGCACTGATTTTTCACTATATCGTCACTCTCTACGTATAATCTTGTAACTCCAAAACGCAAATTTTAGAGGAGAGCAGTTTAAAAGTTTAAAGATTCATATAGTTTCCCTAGTTAAGGGATCTTTTGGTTTTAAATTTTTACCTTATGAATATTTTTTTAAATATTTAGTGACCATAAAGAACATGACTTTTTAAGCGTCACCATGCAATAAACTGAAAATCCGGTATGTGACACTTATGTAATTATACGTAGGGAGTGACGATTCTTTTTTGATGAAATTTCCATTTATTTGTATATTGTGCAATTTAAAACAATAATGTAATATTTCTTCTATATATGTGCTTTTTTTATTTTTTTTTAATATATATTGTTTTTATTTTTTTTAATATATATATTTATCTGTATTTTTTCTACATCTACTTTTATATTTCTATATCAATTTCTCTTAAAGAACCGATATAGAATTTTTTTGGAGACTTATGTTCTTTCATATTTCTATATCAATTTCTCTTAAAGTACTGATATAGAATCTTTTTTTTAAAGACTCTCTTATATTCTTTATATCTTTTTTCTACATCCACTTTTATATTTCTATATCAATTTCTCTTAAAGAACCGATATAGAATCTTTTTTTGGAGACTTATGTTTTTTATATCTATTCTCTACATTTTTATTCTTTTCTATTTAATCTTTGCAAAAATATATATTTGAAATATATATTTGAAATATATATATATATTGAAAAATATATATTGAAATATATATTTTTTCTACCTATTATAAAATACTAATATTTCTATCTCTTCTAATTATACATGATGGGCTTTATCGGGTGGATAATTCTTCTTTCAATCATAAAATCTAAAACAAAACTCGGACGTGAAACTAAAATATATCTAAAATANTACTTTTTAATTTTAAAACAATTGCCCCTCGCGTAAAATATTTGATAGGTTTTAAAACTTTTTAAAGTAAATAGGTAGGTAGGTAGTTATCTGTGTAGGTAGGCATGCGTATCTACAAGCGCTTGTAGAAAATAAATTAGGCCGGATAGATAAGAAATATGTTAGATCGGAAGTAGGTAGGTAGAAGAAATAAAAATGTACAATTAGGATCAAGGTTGTTATGCAGCCTTAATCCTAATTAATGGGGCTAGTAACGTTTAAGATATGTCAGATGTTTAAGATAGGTAGGTAGGATTATATATACTATGTACATTGTATAATATTGTATTATATTGTATATTATATGTAATATATGTAAACTATTATATTGTATGTTATATGTAATATATGTAAACTATTGTATTCTATTATAATGTATAAAAAATTGTAAAATGAAACTTGAAAATTGAAAACNCACTGATAAAGAATTGTAATAAAGCAGAGTAATAGATATCCTTTTTGGAATTGCAACTTTTCAGACNTATATATTTGTGTNCCGGCAAAACACCTTTGTGTAATATACATGTCTTTTTGTGTAATTTGTATTTATACGTATATATGTAGTTTTTGAGAAAATAAAATAAAATTTATAAAGCAAAAAGCAGCAAATGATGATGTAAAAGGAGATGATACACTCCACGAATTCTGATGTTGCTTGCTAAAATAATGTTATTTTTTTGACTATCACATCTTTTCTTGTATATCACATTTATGTTGTGTGGAAAGTTGCAATGTTTTTTTTGTCTTTTTCTGTCTTCCTTTTGTATCTTCTCATCACGAGATCGGTCATTTTAAATTTCAAAAAAATTAAATCCACGCTCGCGAATATACTCACACACTTAAAGAAAGTGACCATTTAAACTCGTGCACATAGCACAGAATAGAACCGCACGCTGTGGACATGTCGCTCGTGGACTGGCTTCGTAGTTCCAATGTGTACCACTTGTGGACATGCGCTAGTTTACGGGGCGGAAAAGTGATTACACATTCTCTTATGGACCTGGTCGCTCTCAGGCTTCTCTCTGGTACCGTCTACGTCTGAAAATGTATGTCTCCCGTAGTTGTTACATTCACTTTTTTGTTTGTGGATACATGGCGGTAAAACCAGCGGTCTAAAGCGTCGTGAAGAAAGGATGACTGCTCTCAGACTTCTCTTTTCTAATACTTTTCTAATACATGGCCACAACTGCACTGCACCAAACCACTTTTCTAATACTTTTAATATTTTTAAATAATGAGTTTTATAAAATAACTTTAATAAACTAAGGAATAAGTAAGTTAATATAATTCAAGTTTTCATTGTTTATAAAGATCAAAAGTCTGCAGTTTTTATGCTTTATCAGAACTATATGTTCGAATGATCCGCCACGCATAAACGCAAACAACATGGCGCATTGCACAACAGCGACTCGTACGTCGGCGTCTTGTAGCTCGTGAAATGCGTGGGATCGATAAGTTAATATGTTGTGGATCACGCGCGTTGTGTTACATGCCGGAAAAAACACGCATCACGTGTTGATAAGGTTAATCAACGACGATAACGTGGCGTATTATTCAGTAGAGCATCGCGAGCAGCCTGAGAACAAGGTATGTTTTTCTCGCTCTATCGAAGTCTTTTAAATCCGTGAATCTGTTTACACTTCGCTGCCACGTCATGTGTTTTTCATTTGTATTTGACGGAACGATCAGCTGACGCGGTGTATAACCGGCATGCAAAATACGAGTCTATATTCTATATAGCATTTGTGCGTGTGCACGACAACGTGCGCGCGTGCGCTTGTACCATATAGACGAAGTGCTATCAAATCGTGTGTGTGCCGTGAGATAACGCGCGTGCAAAGTATTAGGAAATGAAAATTGAAACATCAAACATTTGTTAATATAATACCTAATAAAAAAGCGCCTGAAACTTTGCTCATAATTCACATAAGCTTTGTTTACTGTCGCAAAGCCTCACAGAAACGCTTGTGAATTTTAAATAGACTTTATAATTGGAAAAATAAATTTTTTGCATAAAAAGAAAAAAAATAGTTTTTTGTAAAACACAATTATCTGTATAACTAAATAAAACAAAACGTTATTTTTTTTTGTTTTTATTTTTTAATGTTGTTTTTAACAGAAAATTGGTTTAAAAAATCTCTCTTTCTCTCTCTATTCATCGAAGGATAGTCGCTTGCATAATATTGTGATCGTATAACTTTCTCCTATTCATAAAAATAATATAATGAGGGGAAGGGATATACAAAATGACGCAATTAGCAACAGATGTTCTGCTAACGAGTTTCATAAGATAGAGATAATAACGCTAACTTCCTTGAACTGGTATCGATTCGCAATTTACAAACAAGTATCTGATACGTGTAGTAAGTATATTAACATGGTATTATGTATTGTAATCTCATATACATAATGACTATTTCTAGAGCCAACTAGTGTTTAATATGCAATAATCGTTAGATTTTTAATTAACAATCTGAAAATCTTACTGGTGTTGGTTTTAATCATTTATTTTACAGTAAGAAAGAGTAAATAATCAGTAAATAAATAAGCAAAAATCTAAATAGTATATTACTAAAATATTAAAAATAACGAACAAACAAAAAAAGAGAAATATACGAGTAATACATGAATTGTGAATATAAGTGATATTTTGGCAATTTATCGTGCAATTTATTATGATCAAAAGCGTTTTTTTAACAATTCAGTAGTTACTCTTTAAATCACTAAAAATGATTATTTTTATACATGTAGAATGTCAAGTTAGCACTTGGACTGCTTGTACTCTGAAATATGTTCACTTGTGCGATCGGAATGATAATATTATCATTTTCGTACATGTTGTTATCATTCGATAAAAAAAGCAAGCATTAAATTATTAAATTGTAAAATAAACAAATAAATAAATTGCGGAAAAGACTTATTTGCGGTACGATGCGGAAGATTTCTTTGTTACAGGTTTATATCTTTCCTTCTCAACATTGAATGTTTCTCTCGAAAAAAAACATCGAATATTTCTATATAATATATACATTTTTGATAGTCCAAGAACTGAGTTTTTTCTGTCATTTTTTTATCCAGTCACTGAAGAAAATTCTAACACAGATCGAAACGTCTGTAGTTAAACGTAGAATGAAAAATTTTTTGAACACGAACATTCTATTTACGACTCGAATTGGCTCCTTCCTTTAATTCGTCAAATATTTCTCTCACATCTTTTCATATGTAAATTTTTAACTCCAAAATTTCAGAGCCTACATTCCAAGCAAACTTTTGTTCTTTTATCATACGTGTAGGTAGATAATCTCATATTTTTTCCGTGTCAAAAGTGTAACAAACTTGGTTTTACGTAAAAATTTATTTTTCTTGGAAAAAATTATCAGCGTTCTTCAAAATAAAATTTTATTCTTAGATTTTCACGCACGTAAATCTTTTTCTCGTTCGTGTTACGTTGTTTTCAACAGCAATATCAGCTTCGTTCATTATAAAATTGCTGTTTGTAACATGAGTCTCGTCTCATTTATATCCGAATAGAATTCAGTCGAGGATACAGTAACCAATTTTCCTTCGTTCTTCTTACCATTGTGTCGTGCACACAGCAGCTTGCAATGTATCTTGTAAAACGCACAAGTAAGTAAGCATCTTTGGTGTATTTCAAAGAAACTGAATACTCTTCTTAAAGAATATAGCAGTAATAATAATGAGTTGCAGTTTGATTCTCGGTACAACGCAATTACGCTGTTACGTGTTAAACAGTTTTACGAGTCTTATTTAATCCGTGATGTCGCATTAACACGTCAATAATATGAGAGATAAAGCAGATTTGTTATGCGGTTCACGTAATGAGAGCAGCATCGCTGTGTATATATATTAAACGTTCATTTCCATTATATCAAATATTAAACGCAGAATTAAAGAGCGTGCTCGCGCGTACATCGTAATCCTAATAGCACATATACATACATATATTTATATATATACACACATATATGTAAATAAATAATATATTTATATACATAAATAAAGTATGACACAAAAGTATCGCGATAAAAACTAACAAAAAAAATCGTCACAGTTTCACAAGATAATAGTTTAATTACGGAGAATTTATTATTAATTTGAGTCATCTTTTTTTGCTCTACAAAAATAATTAAGTAAACGAGTACGAAGAGTTGTTAATTATTTTATCATGAAAATATTTCTTTTTTTTATAGAAATAAAAATTATAGGAGAGGCTGTATGAATTGTCTATTGTGTAAATTAAAAGGTGTGATATATATCAAACATAAAATTAAGAATAAGTATTATGTAATTAAAAAAAACACGCATATATAAAAAATAAAAATAAATATTATGTAAAATACATATTGTTGCGCCTTAAACATTGAATGTTTATTATAAACATTGAATGTTTATTAATATCAAAAATTTATGTCTAATATATATCTTATAGATTAAATTTAATTAATTTATTTGAATATACATTTCTCATATAAAATGCATTTATTTTCGCTGCTGTATGTATTTATATACTTATAATAGATATTATGTTTTTCTATGTACGTGTTTCTTATTGCATAATTATATAGCTATATCGGTAATATACGAAGCTTCTATTGAAATTACAGAAGTGCCGGACATAGATATATTCATGCTCAACATACTTGCGGCTATATCTGAATCATGGTAATTACGGACGAGGTTGCCGCCAATGCTGAGCAATTGAAAGCATTCAACCGTATAACAAATTGTGCAATTGCATCGCCGTGTAACGGCGTAATTTCATTAGGCTAATCGTGTGGAGGAAATAATGATGGAATTTATCGATATAATGCGACTCATCACAAATAACTCAAATTCAATTTGCGTATAACGATTTTGTTTTAAACGATCTATATCTCTCTGTGTAGTTGATTGTCAGAAATGTCTTATCAAGGGGATCATGCTATCGAAGCGGACGATCTCGTTCCCATCTTGACACCTAACACTGATATCTCACAACGACTGAAGATCTTGGCCGATTTTTTCATCTCCGAATACAATGTAGAGCCTTCCTTTTTCGCTCGTGTGCCAGGCAGGTAAATTGTCTCGCGATATAAACTACATCAACAAAAAACCTTTTATTATGTATGAAATTAATTGTTCAAAGAACGTGTAATGCGATATGTATGTTATTACAATTGATGATCACAGGCTCATTTTGCTTGATCTTTTTATCTTTATCTTTCGAATACATCGCAGCGTTCTTCGTGTTTTATAGATACATAACTTCTCTCTAAATTAACTTAAACGGGTGCGTTTACCGATAATCCTGTTTCTGTTACAGAGTGAATCTGATAGGCGAGCACATCGATTATTGCGGATATGCCGTCTGTCCAATGGCCATCGAGCAGGACATACTTGTCGCAGTGGCAGTGTCGAAAGATAACGAGATTTGCCTCACCAACCTAACTCCGAAATACGAGAACTTCCGTTGCAGCTTCGAAGACGTGAGGTAAGCGCATAACTCGATAAGAGTTAAAGTTTATTAACAGAGGAACGATGTCAGTTAGTTTAAATAGATTCGAGAATTTATGGATTTTTCAATCTGAGCAACGTGCAACACACAGTCTGTTTTCTCTCTTTCTGATGTTTTATTTTCTACTCGCTTTTCTGAGATCATTCATTTTAATGTATCTTGTCTAGATATACAGGGTGTCCCGAAATTACCATATTTCCTTTTACCAGCAGATTTCTGCATATCTGAAATAAAAAATCTAATACCAAATTGTTAAGGCTATAATATTTTTTGAGTTATAAGTATTCAAAAATAACGAATCAGATCGTTTGAAATTCGCTCATTGCGGTGCAATGCTAAAAACGTAAACAGTGTCGTCTCTTATTTGTCAATGCGTGCCATAATGAAATAAGAGTTTGCGTCACTTAAAATTTGGTTTACTAAAAATCGTACATGTAAATAATAACAGCTTGATGAAAATAAAGAATGAGCACAGTCTTATTACGCGATACGTAAGATTTTTTCGACTTTTTACGAAGTATTTTTTCTTTGGGCACATTAAAAACAATTATATTTATCGCTGCAAAATTGAGAAGAACTAAACAAACGCATAGAAGCAATAGTGGAAGTATAACTCTACAAAAACTGAAATTCGTAATATCGAGAGAAGTTGGTGCAACGAGCAAGACTTTGCACACAAATGATAGACATTTTGAATAATTATTGTATTGATAATAACAATTTCATTATGTCACAGGCAATCTTTATTGACAAAAAAAGAGGCACTATTTGCGTTTTTAGCATTGTTCCACATCTGAATGCGCGAATTTCAGACGATCTGATTCGTTACTTTTGAATGTATTATAACTCGAAAAATGTCATAGCCTCGACATTTTGGTATTAGGTTTTTTGTCACAAAATGTTCTCATAAATCTACTGGTTTTTGAGAAAAAAAATACGGTAATTGCGAAACATCTTATATTGTATATCATCGTATATCATCGTATATCAGTATACATGTGTATAGATATTGATATGTCACGCACGTGACATATAATGTTATACCTTCCGCAACGCATCGCTCGCAGTTGTGGTTTCAAGCACTTACAGTCCTTTAACGATTTAAGCCTCGTGATCCTTCGTCGCAGCTATCTTGGATTATAACGCTAAGACCGGAATTATGTGTGCAGTTTATCTCTGGAACATGTATACACATACGCGTGCGGGAGATGGAGAAAGATCCTTTCAGCGCTTCACTTTCCGTGCAATATATTTAAACCGAATTAAAAACGAAAGTGAAAAACAAATGTTGCTTCGTGATGTACCGGATCTCGAGCAAAACAATGACAATCAGCGGATAGTGTTGCAAGTAATGCGAAGTAAGGCAGGTGGCATTTTGTTCTCTCGCGCGCAACCTCGCTTTTGTTTGAATTAAATTAGCGCTCTTGCGTGCTTTCTTTGCTCCCTGTATAATATCCGCGAGGAGATAATGCAAACTTTCTTAATCTCATTCATTATTCAATGTCGCGCAACCAACATCAGTTTTCATATAACTCGGTTGACAGACTTAGCGAACGTATCATATAATCGATTTTCTTATTTTTATGTTATTACCACATATATTGTATACATAGTATCTCTTATTTAAAGTGTAAATCTCTCGTCATCTTTCTGATTTCTAAAAATAAGCCAACTACCGCGAGTGGTTTTTAAGCGCGAACTACTCTACCACACTTCAAGGTAAAATATAATAACGATCTATAAAAGGTACGTTGACGATCAAAAAGCTTTTTGAAAACGTGCGCACGTCAGTCTTGTGAAAAGCGCTAAAATTTTTATCACTCGACGTGTCAATATAACTAATAAAAAAAAAAAATAATAATAATAATAATAAAATGGCCCTTCTCCTCTTTTTTTATGAATCACCATTAGACGCCGAACAATAAAGTTTAGTCCGAACTATTAAATTCGAGCTTCTTTTTGTTACGATCTATCTTCTTTAGATGAGAAAATAAAAAGAAAAATGGTTATTGTACTACGAAGGTCATTCTATATATCAATTATGTGAAATAAAAAAGAAGAAGCAAATTTTGTTAAGCATGAGTAATACCAACACATATTTTTGTTTCTTTTTTTCTTTCTGATTATAAATCCGATAATTATGAATTTCGCAGACATGAATGTATAGCGCCGTTTCAGATCTCGTATTAGCGACAACGAAAGCGGACCGGTCTGGTATAAATATTTTCTGTGCGGTGTAAAAGGAGCGTTGGAGATAATCCCGAGGGAGTCCGTTCCTACGGGGATTTTGGCTGCAGTATGGGGTAACATCCCTCCTAATTCTGGTCTCTCCAGTTCTAGTGCGCTCGTCTCGGCGGCGCTGCTTTCGATCGTGCACGCTAGTCAGGTAAAGTGATTAAATTACTTGTTTTTTACCGCAAAGTCATTGCCGCTGTGCACGATATTACAAAAAACTGTGATACAAAACTTACATAATGTATATAAACAATCAATAAACGTTTGCGACAGCTTGATAAAATTATACATAGTTCTACACCGCTAAGTCTAGACGGTAAAATTGAATTTTACTGTCATTTTGTGTAATTTAATTACTTTTTTCAAATCTCGCAAGTTTTTTCAATCAGTTCTCAGTTTTTCTCTTGAACGCATATTTTTTCTGAAGAGACGCACAAAATTAAATATCGTCTTTTTATTTTTGATCGCTAATGCCAAATTATATCTCAAGAAGTATTTTGTTTTACCAAGTGCATCGCAAAAAAACTTTATCTTCTTCTCTATCGACGGTGTACACTATATAAAGTATATTCTTCGAATGCGAAGGTATCTCTCTTATTTCCTTTGACGGTTTCGTGTTTATTCGAATGGATATCAGACACGACATCTTTGAAATGCTTCTTCGTATTGTTCCGTTTGCGTCATTATCTTTCTCGCCTTCCTCTCAATTTTCTGTCAAACTTATATTAGTTCTGTCAAACTTGCAGCGAGAGTTTTTCCATTTCTCTCTTTCATTTTATACCGGAATATTGTTTTTGCTTCTCTCGTTAATGAGTTATTAATGTGACTCAACATTATTTTATTGCATCGAGATGTCATAATTGAATCACACATGTGTCTTACGAGCAGTGTCAGTTGTCGAAGCATCAATTGGCGACTGTTAGTGCTCAAGCTGAGAGACACATCGGCACTCAAGGCGGCGGGATGGACCAGGCCATCGCTTTTCTCGGAAAAGCAGGTAATTACGTCTATTAACTCGCGTATATTACTCTGCTTTGCGAGTTATATAACTTAACTTAGTCTTGCAAAAATCCAAGTGAAGAAATACAAATTCAGTGAAATATAAATTTTGAACGCGTTTCAGAGAATATTAAATTAATTCACTCGCAAAGTGAAATTTATCGCAATAACTATGATTGCGGAATCAAGTGCGAATTAATATATCAACAAGTTTTTTTCAGGTCTCATATATTTTCGTAAAATATTTTATGTTCTCTCTGTAAAGGTTCGGCTAAGCTGATAGAATTTAATCCCTTACGCGCCACCGATGTAACGTTGCCGGAGAACGCAGTATTCGTAATAGCGCACAGTCAAGCTTATCACAACAAAGCCTCAACTGCTGACTTTAATCTCAGAGTTGCAGAATGTCGATTAGCTGCGCAGGTACGATACGTAGCCGCGCGCGATATTTGTATTATTAATACATATAATATATATAATATTAATATTAACACCGCATGCGACGAATAAAGTTTTTCTTTTTTTTTTTATTTCTTTAATGCGGATATATCCATAGCCATTACATATTTCGCGAATTCGAAACATTTCGCAAATGATAAACATTCAAAGTGAAACGCAACTGATTGATATTCGTTCGTCAAACGAACGAAGTTGTGTTTAAACATTCGTAAGTGTAAACACATGCGAAGATATTATTTGCAAGGAATCAACGAGACTAGTTATTTTTTTTTTTTTTTTTTTTTTTTGATTAAATTTTACGGCTTTTTCTAAAGCTCGTTCCGCAACACATTGATCGATACATCTCAAGTATTCAAGACACTTTCTAACTCCAAGGACTGTCCTAATTCTATTTCCTTCGCTTTATCTTTCCCATCGAAAAACTTCGTCCGAAAACAAAGTGGGAAAGAAAACTGTGTGTATTATGTTCGAAAGAGTGCGTAGAAAATTATTTAGTCGTATAATATTACGTACTTGTTGGAGATTCTCGGACTGAGAACAACGAAATTGTATTTCTTTTCTTTTTTTGTGCGCAGATAATAGCCAAGAAAAGAAATAAGGATTGGGAAGGCGTTCGAAGATTGATCGACATCCAAGAGCGGCTCGCCTTTGAGTTGGACGAGATGGTTACTGTAGTAATGACAGACCTGCACGAAGAGCCGTATACTTTTGATGAGGTACTTTGTTGCACTATTATAATAACAAGAGAACGAGCTTTTTTGTGTAATGTCTTGATGAAAACACGAGTCTTTTTCGAAGATTTATTAAAGAAGCGTATCGCAAAAGAGCAAATCTCATAAATCGCGCGTCGTAAAAGAGAGACTACAAACACAACAAAAAATCGATTAACAATGTGCTACATTTTGTGTATCGATCAATTCGTTTCAATTGTGTTAAACGTACTATTGTCGAGCGAATTTCTCGTTATCGCGACGACGTATCAGGAAATTATTATTCGGATAGAATTGTTTTTATATAGATCTGCGAGTGCCTCGGCACGGACTACGATCGACTGGAGAAGACGTCTCTCGTCAGTTCTTTTAGCGCCGCGCAAACGTTCAAGCTGCGGCAACGAGCTCTCCATGTTTTTCAAGGTAAAAACATCAATTTTCATGCGCCGGTAAATCGTAAAACACGATTTCACATCCGATAAATCAAGAGAGCTTACCTTCCCAGTTTTCCAAGCGAGCGCGTATCCTCTTCCTCCGCGCGAGAGAGAAAGGTTTCCACATTTCCGTGTAAACTTCACGTTTCGCGAAAACGTTAAAGAGTCCGAAGTAAGCGCCGTTAAAAAAAAAAAAAAAAGATTAAGAGCAAATCTAATTTTAAAATCTATTTAGTGTGCTAATTAAAACATTGAACTACTTTTCATTTGATTCTTCTTCGCTCTTTCGCAGTAGAAAAATCGAATGCGAAGAATCCCATAAATCAAATTCCCGTTTTAAAAATGTAGTTGTCGCGTGTCTTGACTTTTTATACGTAAAACCGATCAATTGAATGCACGTGTCGTTCTATAAAGCTATAAATTATTGTATCGGATGTTACGTATGTGTGTACGTTATTAAATACACTAATAGTGACCTTCTAACCGACTTGAAACACCTGTTCGAGTTTATGTTTCTTACAAGAAAATACTTTAATTAATTAACGAAATAAATTGACAAAAAAAATAACTAACTTTCCATTCATATCTAGATTTCTCTCTTTTTTTTATTCAACTGCCCGCTTGTTAATATAACAAGCTTTACGGCAAAAGCCGCGCGCACGCGCGTTAATTAACGTCGGATCGATTAGTGTCTAATTAAACACTCGAATATAGGTAGTTGTTATGTTACATCGTTATCACATTAAAAAGCGCGATGTTCATTATCACGGCCAGTAAACCCGCCTCGATTAATCGCACCGTTGGTTTCGCACTCTGTGCAGAGGCCGGCAGAGTATTCGCGTTTCGCCGCATAAGCGAGGAAAGCGGCATAATGGAACATGAGAAGCTCCAACAGCTGGGCGATCTTATGTCGAAGAGCCACGCGAGTCTTCATAAACTGTACGAGTGCAGCCATCCCAGCGTGAACGCTCTTGTTGAACGTGCCATGCGTTGTGGCGCATTCGGAGCGAGACTCACAGGAGCCGGGTAAGTGTTATATGTATCGAGAAAATTTTTACTAACGGAAAAAATGAAGCTCGCAGAAAATAAGAGCAAGTTATCATTCAAGCGGATACTTCGTTTCGCCGAGAACAAAATGCTTCGCGAGATAGAATAATTTTGTTGCACATAATAATACGAAAATATTTCTTTATTTTTTTTAGGATAAAATCTATTTTTAATATATTTTGTTATTTTGTTTAGTATTATTATTACGTTGATTGATAGTAACTTTTACTTTGATTCATTTGTAATAATAATAATTAAAAAAAAAAAAACGACTCAACTGCATTTCTCTCTCAAAAAATTGTTTGCAGTTGGGGTGGTTGCATCGTCGCTCTTATCAATAAAAACAAAGTTCAGCAATTTATGGACGCGCTTCGAACGGATTCTTCTCGGAATAATACTAAAGACCGAGAGAAGATAGAGGATATGATATTTCCAACGGCACCGAACCAAGGTGCTGCTATTTACACTGTGTCAACATCACTCTGAATTGCTTAAGCCGGCACTGTAATAAATATGGCTTTTTCTTTGGCCCGTAGCGTGTTGTCACGCTACGTGTTTATATTGACTTTTCATTATTTTTTTCTACTTTAGTCTCTGGTTTTTTTTTTGCTCGTCATCACGAATTTTTTAATTGATGAACGAATGTTACATGCCGCTCGACCTTTTAACATTGTTGATATTCGAATTTAACTTCAGTTTGTTGAACGAATAATATCCTGTGTGTGTGTGTGTGTGTGTGTGTGTGTGTGTGTGTGTGTGTGTGTGTGTGTGTGTGTGTGTGTGTGTGTGTGTGTGTGTGT